TATTTTGATTTGTTTTATTTTTTTTTCTTGTATTATTTTTCTTTAGGAAGTATTTGAAATTAACTTGTATCACTTTCCCTAATTGAAAGTAGGTAACATTCTAGCAATGTATTTAGAATACAATTCATATATAATAGAAAATTCGAAAATTTTCGATTTTTGTCATTTTTCGTGCAATACGTTAAAGAATCTTTTTTTCTGTAGAATATTTGAAATATGATAAGGAAGTAGTGATTGTGTAACTGATTGATATAGTAGTTTGTCACGAAATATCCTTACCAAAAAAAAATTCTAAAATCATATTATAGTACACTCTCCATTATATTTAAATTAATTGCATTTTCAATTATATTTCAATTATCAGTTATCTTTCTGTCTAGTAAGCATTGTACTAGTTGCAGTGTAGTCGTGCTGACTTCTATCATATTCATACGTACATAAATTTCTTTACGTACGTAATAAATTAAATTAAATTAAAATAAATTAAATTATTATTCAAAAAATATTGCGCATGATACACAACGTCGTATCTTACTTTTATTACGAAAAGAACGAAATGCTGAAATCTCAAAATTTAGATAGATGCAAATTTGAACATAATTTTATTGGACCAAAATAATTATATAGAAAATTCAAGCATGCTAAGCACTGTTTTAAAAAATTTTGACATTCTAGCAATCAACTTGAGCATCTTGAGTATATAATTATTTTAATAATTCAATAAAATGTATCTAGCTAAATTTTTTAATATTTCAACAAAACCATTCTTTTTGTGTACAAAAATACTGAAAAAAATATCTTAAATATCTAAGTAATATTTTCTTCAATAGTACTAATTGTAAGTAAACACTTCTTTATTGCAAATAAATATTTACTGTAAATTTAATGTAAACATACATTACTTGATTTAAGTATTACTTTCTTTTTTTGAATATTTATTTGCAGTAAAGAAATATTTACTTAGTACTATTCAAAGGAATTTTTCTTTTAGTGCACTTTTGTCCAAGTCAACGTATTATTAAATCAGATATATCATTTGTAGAATTATAAAATGAGATTATAATATTTAACAACTTTAATAACGGATAAATTTAGCGATACTCGCCAATACTCATGGGAATCAAACAGCGAGATTGCTAGAAAGTAATATACCATATATACGCCATATATAAAAGCGATATTATACGTCCCAGTCGAATTATGGCAGCGCAACAATTGGAATAAACACTACAAACTCTCTTATCCAAGTTATTACCGAAATATATCTCCATTTGATATACACATTTCTCATCACTGACGCAAATAACACAATCACACAATCATTCCATTATAAAGCGCGCAAAGCGATTCGTTATCGAATCTAAAATTCCATAGATCGCGTATAATGCACCAGTTAATCGTAAATTCATTAATAAAAAGTGCAAATTATTATTATTAGCAATCTCTCAATTAGTGCCATTTTATTTTCCAATCCTGCCGTTCTCAATTTCAAGTCGTTATTTTCCTATGTTAGTAATATCATTCCAATCGAATGTTGTTTTGTTTCATCGATTTAAAAAAAGGATTAGAATAGATAATAAGGAATAAGCTTAAAATCAATTTTATATTACGCGAAAAAATAAAATCAATGTTCAACAGAATTATTTTTGTTATACAGAATTATTTATTTCCAAAACAAAAGGAAATTCTTATTTCATAATTAATTTAGAAATGAAGCGCATTTTTAGGTCAATTTATCAGATTAAATTATCATATTTTGTGTATGTAAAAACTTCAGAACAGATATTTGTTACTTTCGAAGTCTATTATTGTATATTATCTATCTTCGCGCGCGCGTTTTATACATAAAAAATTTTACAATTTTCAAAGTTTAGCTATGAAACATTACGCGACATAGAATAATCTGTGAAATGAATATGAATATAAAAACGTAAGAAACGTACACAAATAGGAAATTTTAAAGATATCATTAAAAAATCAGTAGTCTTATCCTATACGTAAAACGTCATCGTCGCGTGAATAAACATCACTAGAATCGAAGTTATTGATGACTTACTTTACAACGGCGATATTATACGAGTCAATATCTTATATTATATTATTATTGTCGTTTTCATCGTATATAAGCGATACTGGCGTTTTAAGGATTCAGTAATTTACGAGATTGCACTTTTTTGATAAGTAACACGAAATCGCTTTATTCGGATATGCTCCGTGATTACAAGCACGTATCGTATCCGGTCGACACGACATCGGGATTCGAAGGATTCTCTCGCGAGTTTCATCCCTACGAATGTACAGCCCTGGGACGCCACAGGGCTTAATATCTCTACGAGGGTAACAGAGAGGAAGGAAGATAGGGGCGATCTTACAGGAGGGAGTGCTGATGCTCGAGCCGTAAGCGCGACGAAGGGACCATTCGAATGAAAAAGAGAAGAAAAAGAAAGAGAAAAAAAGGTAGGGTCTATTCTCTCTCTCTCTTTCTACGGAGAGAGAGCACCGCGTCGACGAGGACCCCTTCCTCTAAAAAGCCGCACCCACACGGGGATCCAGAGAACTCGCTGACACAGCCCTGAGGAAACTGAGTAAACACACACTCTGTGACGCGCCCGTGCGCGTAAAGAATACCGTGAGGATACCGAAGAAGCGACTGTTTGAAATCGCTATCGTTTCGACGAGATTAGAATATTAGATTTCCATGGTTGCGAGCTGCGACGCGTTAACGAGATTTTTAACTATCGCGATTGGCAACTATCTAAACGCAGCGATTAATGCGCGTGTCGCAATTCTTATTTATATGTCAAATAGTACTTGCCCAAGAGTTCAGTTTTCCTGAAATTACACATAGGTCCTTAATTTTTTGTTTCGTTTTTTTAAATTTTCCTATCTAGGAAACAGGACAGTGGTATTTCTTTCCCGTAAAAAGTAACGATAGTCAGAAATAGACGGCAGGAAAAGCGAAAAATGTCGCACGAATTGTGAACAACGCGACTTTCGAACTGAATGAGATGCTTATAAAATTAAAAATCTACAAATTTCAATTTACTAATATTCTGAAAATAATTAATTCGCCGAATTATTTGGGTATGTATAACCGAATTATATTCGGAATGATTCGGATCTTAATGTTCAAAAAATCGCGTATAACCAAATTCGCGAATTTATTAACTCGAATTCAAATTATTCATTGGAAAGAGAGTTGTATAATATTTTTATACGAGAAATAAAACAGATATATCTTTAAGAAGCATGTCAAATTTGATTGCAATTGTAATAAAAATATAATTAAAATTTTTTTAATAGTACGTTATTTTTAGTGTACATTGTATAATTTTATTTTAATTAAATTTCTTCATGTAAAACGTTTCAATAATCTTGATTTCATCTTTATTTTTGTTTAATTTTTTTAGTTTGATAATTCGAATTAGATTTAATTTTATAAATATCTCTCTCTCTCTCTCTCTCTCTCTCTCTCTCTCTCTCAATTTATTTAGATAATCCAAGCATAGAGATATTTCAACGATTAGCTAATAATTGTTTTGAATATTACATTATTATCCCTCGATATTTATAGTTCTAATCTAAACCAAGTTAGCAAGAAACGAACGATTACGAACGTGACAAACTTTCCTTTCGATATCCATTGAAATAAGACGAAATACATTCAATGTCAATGTACATACGTTTAGTCTCGTTCGTATTCGCGATGTCGCGCCACTCGTCCATACTCATCGAAGAAATTTGTTTATTCGTGTTTATTCGCGTTCGTTTGCTCGATTTGGATCCAACTTAACGCATGCGCTTTTTAATTCTATTGACTTACGACGCGACGTGATGGTTTAGTTGTTCGTGGAAAAGTCATTGGATGAATAAAATCTATCTTGTACTGTAAAAATAGTAGATATATAAAATTATGTAAACAAATGTGTATGATATAGAAATATATAAGTACGCCGTGCATTTAATTACAAAATGAATTTATAATTTTTATACATTTATTATTGATATACTTTTTCCATTGTATGGCGTTCATGTAATTCGCATACTTTTTTACAGTGCGTAAAAAAAATGCGTACATAGATTCACGCGTCACTGATGATCGTTGAGCGGCTCTCAGCCAAAACTCGCGGAACAATATCGAGCGAGCGACTCTCGCGTGCGCACCGCTTACGTTCACTTTTTAGCTTTGCGGACGTGGAATAAATTCTACCCGGGAATTTTACACGTAAGTAGGTACTCTTATCGACGTCGAATCTCTTCTACTTGAAGTTATATCTCGTACGATGATACTGTAACACCGTCTATACGTGTTACGATCCGTACTACGATCGCGCGCCTGCCATTGCGCAGCGCCATTCTCTCGTCATAGACGCTATCATGGCCGAGCACGCCGAGTACGCTGATAACTCTCTGAGTTAAGCCAAAATCAACACACAGAGCTGCGGATCGGGCATCACGCAATGCAACAGCCGTTTCGTGAGTGCGTCATCACAGTGCATCACGTCACGTCGAGTGACAAAGCTTAAGATGTTTTGTTTTTTTTCTTTCGTTCTCTCTCTGTCTTTTCTCTTGCTTTATATCTTTCGTTCTGTTTCTTTCTCACGACTCGTCTCTAGACGATATCGTGCCAGGCGGTACGTCAAATTTGGTATAGTAAAGATCGATTGCTTCTTTCTTCTTCTTTCTTTCCGAATATCCGTCCTTTTAGAGACGTAAGGAAAAGTTAAAAGGAAAAGAAGGCGTTTCTCCCCCACTTCGCTATTTACTTTATACCTTTCATTTTCTCGTAATGTCTTCCTTCTTTCTGTTTCGTCCCTGCGTTCTCTCTCCCTCGCCCCTCCCTCTCTCCCCCCCCCCCCCCCCCCCACATCCCCGGCGGGACAGGTGCTTT